TTTAGAAGTTGTATTTTATACTTTTTTCAGATAAAAAGAACTACCAAAGCTAAAAAATGAAATATGTATGGCATTTTTTTTAATTATGGAAGCATACAAAATGCATTGGGAGTATTTTTTTAATACTTGTATATATAATCAGAAAACATCTCTCAGAACAGCAGAGGGAAAAATAAGAGATACCTTTTAATTTTTACATGTATGTGAGAGGTTAAAAGAATGAAAAGTGAACCAGAGAAAGGATTCAAAATAATTTTTTGTCAGAAGTAAATTTCTGGAATTGTTATTAAGTTTTGTGATACCAACATTTGTAATGTAAATAGCAGATGCCTTATCTGATATGTTTCATGCAATGTGTTGCATTCTGTGGTGACAGGAATAGTGCAGACTGAACACAATGTGAAAGTGATGTATGTTATATTTTTGGCATTGGCTTAGTTAAGTATGTGGCCAAAAAAAGTATAAGAGGAACTGAGTGAGATGGAAAGGTATTGAGGTTTGTTCTCCCATTTTTTGTAGTGCAATTAAAAATAATTCTGAATATTAGGAATTCCAGTAAGATCTGAGCATGTGTTTGATAAAGGATTAAAATTCCTTAGACACATTTCCTGAGAATTAGGTTTTATAGAGCATGCAGGAAACAGTAGTGTGAAAGAGACTTTCAATGAAAATTGTTCTTGCCAGCCATCCTGTATATGCTTTCTGAAGTGGTGATCTGTCTCCTCATACAGAGCTCACATCTGGTTTACATACTTTTAATAACTTTTAATACCCTTCAGAGCATCCCTTATTTTTTGTCTGCTTCAGTTTGGGTGGTGGAATTTCTAGGACTTCTTTTCCCCTCATGTCTTGTTTTTTGTAAGAGTTAGAAATTGTTACTAGTTTATCTTTAGAGTTCACCTGCATAAGGCACTGGATGCTGTACTAGAGGAAGAATAATTCTGAACTGGGAAAGGACTGAAATAGATGTGGTTAGCATCTGAAATTAATCTTATGTACAGTACACCAAACATCAGCCCTTGGGGAGATAATTTGGTTTCCTCTTTGGCTTTGTCACCAATTTGTGCAGATGTACAAAAGTATGTTAGGCTGCCTGTAAATCAAAGGTTTTTTAAGTGCACAGGTTATCATAAAGTTCAGTACAGAGTTCGTATAGGGGTAGTAGGTAATACCTCACTATTTTAAAATGTGCCGCAGTTAGAGACAGTCATTGTATACTACTGTCTAATTAATTTCTCTGAAGTGATTACAAAGAAAATATCCTTCAACTATTGTTTGATTTTCTTTTGGTCATTCTTGTTTTACAGAGAGCTCAGTATAGTCAGTTTATGCTTTCATACCTGTGCACTATAGTTGTGCACTGTAGTAGTCCAAGAACTTTTTTTTCCTCATGTAGAGCCACTTAGTTTTACAGGACAAGGTGATATATTTCTGACCTGTAACACAATTTACTAAAACTGTGTTAGTTACCACTAGTATATTGTATTTGCTGAAGGACTAGAAGAGAACAAATTTGATAAGAAAAACCCAGTCTGAAATGATATAATCTTGTAATGCAGTAACAAATAAAGTAAATAACCAATTTTTAGCACTGGCAAAAATTTAGCCATTGAGTGTGTATTGAAATTTGTCTTTAGGACATCCAATAATTGGAAGAGAGGGTAGACTATTAGAGGCAGAACATCTGATGTAGTCAAAAAATGTTCTTGCAATATAATTACAAGAATAATTGAATAGGTTAAAATACATCTTCCCTTCAGCTCATGGTTACTGTCCACTCAGCTCAGGCAGTGCCTGTGAATCTTTCTAGCCTATTTTAATTCAAAGTAAGGCAAACCCATTTTAATCACCAGTGGAGCAGCTGGAACCAGCCTCTGTCAGAAGGAGGATGCTGGTCTCGTTTGAAACTGTACTCCCTGTATTTATTTAGTGGGAAAATACATTTCAGAGTTCAGGGAGTAGGATTTTAAAATCAATTGGAAAAAGAAATTGGGTTTTTCATCAAATAATTCCCTATTTTATGCCATTTGATGTGTATTAAAGATGCTTAGCTTTTCTAAATAAACAGCTTTGCATCTCTGGGTCTGAAAGTTGCACAGACATCTGAAGTATTAATGCAGCTGGGTGTTAGGAAAGTAAAGAGATTGCTGCATCCCAGCCCAGTACTTAGCAAGCAATACCAGCATTCCCATTTGGCTCTAGTCCATGCACTGTGCCTCTATCTTTGTTTTGATGAATCGATGTAGATTGACTTCAGTTCAGGAGAGGATTTTGTCAGTCAGCTTTCAAGTCATGAACATTGAGGCCAGTCCCTAGTTTGTGGAGCTGACAGTACAAAAGTGAGTGTTTGACACGTGGCTTGCTCAGTGCATGGGGATAGAAGCTGTTGAGATTTTTCAGAGATCAGCCTCTAAATGAAGTTGTTCTGTTGGGTCACTCATCTGATTTACACACAAGCTGTTTCTATTGAAGCACCTGGGGCCTTTTGTTCAGGCTTGTGAATAAGCCTCTTTCAGTCACCAACAGTAATTTAGTGTCACTGCTTCCTTCAATAGGTAAAAGGCAAGTACGGGAATGACATTTCCTTCCACACTGTGCAACTTCACGCTTATATTTTTAGAGAGGTAACAGAACTGTATCACTAATGTGGATTTTGTTATATACTGGAGCAGATTCAGAAATCATCTAAGGTAGTGGTAGTTTTTTACTTTGTACTTCCTAATTCTGGAACAATACTAAGTGGCAGGAGTGCATGGGTGAGGAATGATATCCTCTGTTGGACAGAGAGCTCTGCAGAATAGCCGTTCAATGTTTTCCTTTGTTATTGTGGCAATTTTGGAGGAAGACATTTCATTGCCTTGTAAATTCCCTGGCACAATAGAGTGCCCTACCTGCAGATTGTGATGACTCTGACTTGAGCTGTAATCTCATATAAACCTTGAGTCAACTTAAGCTTGCCTTTCCACTGACAAAATGCTCCACATTTTTCCTGCCTCTGTACCATTCCATGCTTAAGTCAGTAAAAATATTTAAAGTAACTTCTTTGATTTATTTGTCAGTCTAAATGGCAGTCAGTTCTTTGAATTCATTATCACAGCATGAAAACTTGAGCCAGCCCAAGGGATGGGAAAGCTTGAGAAGATGGAATAAATGATAGCTGCAAGTCTTGGGTAACTCTGTAGGGGAAAAAAAAAAAATCATCCCATATTTATTTTGTATTATGTTATGAATCCTGGGATGGTTAATGGTAAGCAGTTGATGCTTACCTAGTGAATTTTCTCTGCATCATCAGAGGCACCATGTAGTGAATCTCCTGTTACTGTGACGTTCTTGGAGAATAATAAACAACTTCGATTTAAATAAATAAAACTGGTGAAATGCTTAAACATGGATGGTCCATTTCATGTATGGGGTTTTTTTAAAGTTATTGTCACAACAGCTTTCAGTAGCTGTAGTGATGCATATTACATTGCAAAGAAAAGACTGCTGGCATTTGGAAGGTTTTTTATATGTGGGAGTGTTTGGGAGGTTAGAACGGTGAACAGGGAAGTATGGCTCACTTTGGTAGCTTGTTACAATACTATGGCTGTAATTTTTTTGGCTTCAGGAGGGGCATTACATACAAGTTCATGTGATATGTATTACTACAATTATTTGTACTCAAATTCTTGAGTTTCAGTACCTTTATAAAGGGGGAATTGGTTGTTTGTTTTTTTTAATGAAAATGCAGCAGTGAATGTATTTTAAGGTATCATAAACTTCTATTGAGAACATGTCTATAGGTTATATTATCCAGCAGTCTTTAAATACTAATTCGGGAACAGCAGTGTAAATTGCAACAAAGTACAGCAAAGAATGTGGTGACAGACGCGGTTAATCTCTGTGTCTGTCTGCACAGGACCAGATTATGGATGTTGGTGATCACCTTTCTGCTCATTCAGAGATGGGTTCTGTTGCTCTTACATACTCATTTAGTGCAAGATTGTGCAAGGTTTTCTAGCCCTCTAAAGAGCAGGAAGAAATGGTGGCTCAGAAGGCAGCTGTCATTTCATACCCATTCCAGCTGCCCTTTCCACTCAAATTTCCTCCCATCCCCTCCCCCTCTATTGAAAAAAAAAAAAAAAGCAGGAGCATAATTGCAGAAAAAAGAAGAGTATGAGGATTTAAAATCTCTAGCAGCTAATCTATCACATCCTTCAGTTTTCATGGCTATCTGCCAATTTAAAATACACTTGTTTTTTCCGGCCTTGCCAGTAATTAGACAAATGCAGTAGTGCTTATGGCATCAAAAACTCCGTGACTGGTAAAAGCAATTGCTGTCATAATGCATCCCTAAATTTAATAGTAGTGGTGTAAAATGAATAAGCAGCTCTCTATTTCAAGGGGTAATGGCTTTAACTATCAAAATTACTAGTATTTTCTTTGATTGGCTGCTTTGGCTCCTTTTTTGTATTTCTGTTTGTAGGAACTGAATCAATTTATTATAACAATTGTATTTTATTTAACAAACAACAAGGCAAGCAGAAATATGAAACTCTTATAAAGTGTCACCAACTTCCTATTCACCTTGGATCATAGGTTTTTACTTTTATCCCACTTACAGACAAATCACAAACCTTTTCTTTCCCTGCAAGTATTACACTTAAAGTTGTCATTTACTTTTCTGCTTTCCTTGCAAAATTGCTCGCCTTGTGTTCTGCCTGGAGCATTGCTATGGATGGAGAAGAGGTCTGATTAATTGGAAGGAAACTTTTTGTTACTGGGAAAACTCAACACACTGTTGTGAAAAATAAATCAAAATTTACTTTCTGGATCCATAGTGCCTTTTTCTTGCTACTATGACATCTGTAAAGCTTCTCTCAAGGAAAAGATGCTTCAGCAGTTAGTGCTCTCTTAAAGGGCAGTTGTGTTGATGCCATTTGGCTAAGCCTTAAAAGTTCCTGTAATCTGTGCCATCCTGTCTCATACAGTCCCATCTCATAGTTGTCCTTTCTCTGCAGTGCTCTATGCCCAGATCTCTGTGGCTGGGCTGCTCCAGCCTGGCGGACAGCATGCCCTCGCTGCGATGCCTGTATAACCCAGGGACTGGCGCACTCCCAGCTTTCCAGGTACTTTCTGTCTCTCCCCACTCCTTTTCTCTCCATCTGTGTGCGTGTGCATCTCCTTTACTTGCCTGCTTGACCTCTATTTATTCTGGTTCATACTCTATGCCTCTCCTCTGTCATTCTGATCTCTAGTATTTTAACCCATCTTGTGTAGATTCAGGTCAGCTGGGGCATTTCCATTTACCTTGATATAGTTATTTCATCTAAATTGGCTTGATACCATCATCTTTTTCATTTGCTTTAAATTGTGTCAAAAAGATACCACTTAATTATATCTGGCAAACAGCATCCATCACACAGTCTCCAATCTGGCTATTCTGGCTATTTGCAATTCCTCTCCTATCTAAATTTTTTGTCTGCAACGTAAAGGACTGAGAGGATAAGTTCATTGCCATGATGAGAATTGATGCCAGCAATTCTTTACTTCAGCTTTGTTACCAGGAGTCTGGACATTTTCACTACAGAAAATTATTGTTCAAGTAAGTTGTCAGTCAAAAGGCAAATAAAGGAAACCTTTTTCTTTTTTTTTTTTCCTTTGATCTCTGAATTTGTTAGATTCAGGCTGTTCTCTGTCATGAGTCAGCTTTCTGGCAAACAAGTTTGTTCAGACCCTTTGTGTGACCAGTGAATCCTAAAAAATGGAGACGTTCTCCTATGGGAGAGTTAGACAAGTGCTGGGTGAGCATCAAGAAACCTAGACAAGGCTCTCAAGATCATTGCAAGCATTTTTGATGACGTGAATGTAACAGCAGAGACTGGTCCAGAGATGTTATATTCACATTGGAAACTCTGAGGTATTCTATGAAGTGCAGTGACTGAGGGACTGCAGGAGTATCTCTGTAAAGAGCGTGTTTATTTGAGCTTATGGTAGCATGAACATCTACTTCAAGGTTTATGCTGCTAGAATATGCTACTGGTGGCCTAACCTGTGGCAGAGAGTTTGATTTACCAGCATCTTTCAAAACCAGATAAAAAGAATAGGACAGAATATTTCTGAGATTTTCACATGTTTTTGGGTAAGTTGATTATGCACCTCTAAAGGAAGGTATGCAAAGATTATTTTAGGTTTTACTTCTTGCTCCCAGAGCCAGGCTAGTGCGGTGGAAATAATCCTCTTAGTCCTAGAGGAGGCTTAAGTGTCTTGCATCATTTTGCTGCAACTCTTTTGCTGACACAACAAGTAGCACTGATGGACTCTGGAAGGTGTCCTGCCAGGCCTCCTTTGCTGAACCAAGCTTTTAGTGGAGCTTTCCATGGGGGAGGGGGAAACACGACTTTTTATTAGTCTACAAGGACTCTAGAGACAGCAGGCAGAGTTTAGACTCCTAATCCTGATTTTCATAATTTAACTAAATCGGATGGGTCTAATTTTTGAGCTTCTGGCTGTTGAATAAATCTCAGATCTCTTTAAGCTTAGCAGTACATAAAAAGTAATTTATAAACTCAAATTGACGCTTCTCCCTTTCTATTTGATTTTTTTTGATTACTTAAAATAGGCATATATTACAAAGGGGAAGAGATATAAATTTATTTTAGCTTAAGATACCCTTGCTAATGACAGATATGAACAATAACTGTTTTGCTAGTGCAGTGCATTGATATTTGGGGTCAAACGAGCCAGCTGTACAACCATTCACTGTGTTGGGATACTGGTAGGACTGACATTCGCATTTTTGCATATTTTGAGAGACATTTCCATGTATATTTAGTGACTTTGGGTATTGGGAAAGTATGTCCTACGTGCCATCTGAAATGGTAGACTGGTACTCTTCACTGAACTCTGACTGCTGTGTTGAGGAACACATTTACTGCCAGTTGAGAGAGAAACCACATTGCCAGCAACAGCTTCTGCAGCACTGAGTCATCCACATTTCAGTCCATTTTTTTCAATGGGCTCTGATTGATCCTCATTAGCTTGCATGGTTTGAAAAAACTCCCCTCTGAGTCATGGCTTTCTGCATTTTCCAGTGCAGAAGGGAGTGGTTTGGAGCCTGCTTGAAGCAGTGATGCAGTATTTCATCATTCTTTGATGCCTTTTTTTTGGTATCAAATCTTTGGGAAAGCATTAAAGACTTTACTGTAGCCCAGTGAATTTTCTCATATTAAGTTACTTTCTTTTTTCCGTAGCAAGCTTGAAGTAACTGGAGAAGCATATCAATGTTCTTTGCTTGTGGCAAAAGAGAAGATGCCATCTGGAAGGCTACTTAGTCACTGCTGAATTTGTCTAGTTATTTACATGGCTGCCTTCAGATGCTCAGACAGAAATGTGAAAAGATGCTCTTTGTGAATAGCTCAGTTAAAGTCTTGCTGACTGCTCATGGGAAGCATTGGCAGGTAGTAAATGAAGAGATGATTCTGTTCATATGTCAGGTAACTTTGTTTTTCCTCTTTGTGTTTTTATTATTGGAGACGCTTAGGTGAAAACAGGGTTCCTCAGCCCTGGTTTTAGGCAGTTATCCTGCAGTAGGAAAGGCTTTAAGGCTGAACTCATGAATAGGGGAATAAGGAACTAGACAGTCTACTGTGTAACTGAATTTCGTAGCAATCATGGTTGAAGATGGCAGCAAATTGGAACATGAACTCCTATAAGGCACAGTGGGAAGTGGTCAAAGAGGATATTTTAACAAGAGAAAAAGGCCAGCCATTCCATTTGCAGTATTTTGATGCCAGATTTTACAGTATTATTCTGCAAAGCAACTGAAAGTGAGGTTGCATGCAGATTCTCCTAAAAAATAAATTATGCTGAATATACTTCTTTTTCGTAGAAACTTGTGCTTCATAAGTTTCCAGATGTGCCAACAGGTGTCTGTTTTCATGACATTTTCCATGTGAAGATAATTACTTTCCCTGTTCAAATATTTTTCCATGCATGCTCACAATGCTCTGTTTATGTTGTTTTTCATAGTTGCAGGCCTTTGAAAATTCAAATTTACATTTACACCCATCAAGTATGCCAAGGGAATGATTGTATTAATCATTTCAGGTCTGCAGAAGACCAACATATTTCCTTTAATTCAGTTCTGTAGGCTGCTGTATAAATGAGGAGGTTTGAAGAGGAATTTTAAAGGCTTGCCAAAGGGTTTATGTATCACCATAATCACAGAGAGCAGTCCACCTCTTCCTTTTTACCTAATTCACAGCCAACACAAATAACAGCTCCTGTTTAGATTGTGAACTTCTTGGGACAAGAGTCACACTTTTACTACCTTTGTCTGGAGCCTAGACACAGGTGCAGAAGAACAGAGTTGACTTGTCAGCTTTATTTTGCCAAATCTGGAACTTCTGTTTCTATAACAGGCTCTAGTAATCAAAGAGGAGGATTAACTTTTGTTGTAGAAGTAGCAGCATCTTGTTGAATATAGAAGTGTCTCTATAGAACGTCAGAAATTTGCATTTTGTTTTCCCTGAAGATCTTGGCCATAAAGAACTAGACATCAGGGTTTGTCAGGTAAAGGGGAAGATTTTCTACTTGGTTTTGCAGAAATGAGCGTGTGTGTGAGACTTCCTCGGTCTGGGCTAAATGCTCTGTCCTGGGGAGGAAGGCATAGGCGTACTGTACTAGGCAAATTGAAGCAAAAGCAGTGCACTTGAGGCTGTGCTGTGTGGATGTGACCTCGATGGACTGAGATTACTTTAGCAGAAAGATGAAAATGCAATAGATGTTAAAGGGATGCAGTGATGGAAGTCTGTTGTCCCTGTGAGACAGACATGAACTTATTTTTCAAATTACTTTTACATTATTTTTTCGTGGTGTTTATATTCTTGTGTTAAAAAACGGAGTATTTGTTAAAGAAGCGTTGTCTGTGTATTGGTGGAAGCAGTTGTGTCTGTAAATTTCCTTCAGCCCATTCATGCACTTTTGTGTTAGAAGTTGACATTTTATTGCTGGAAATACAGTGTAAATGTGAGTAGTAGTACATAATCTCTGGTTATACAGGAGGTTAGAGCTAGAGTCTTGGAGTGGGCAAACTGGCTGCTCAGAAATGCATTTATGAGAAATACGTTTGAAGGAAATTGTTTGGCTTTGGAGCCAGTGTTTGCTGGTGTGCATAGTTCTGTCTCTAATTGGGAAAGATAGGGGGTGTCCAGTCATAGACTCCATCAGCATGGAGACACTAAGCCTGCTTTGTATTCACCCCTCTCGCTCTGCCAGTGGCTGTGTGAAAGCTGCCCTGGGGCTGTTTACAGTGCACCTCTAAAGCAGAATCCTAATTTTTGTGACTAATAGCCAAAGCATGTGGTTCCAGCACCCCCCTGGCTGGCAGTAGGCTCTGCCCTGGTAGTGAATGTAGTTAGGTGGCCCCCAACTGTTTACAAGACAGCAGAGGTGAGATCTTTGATTGACAAGTCAGAAATGCATTAGATCATTCCTCTGCCAGTCTCTGGTTCATGCTGTTAAAAATGTCAGCCTCTCCAAGTTTGAATGGCAGCCCGAGGGCCTCAGAAGCTTTTTGTTTTCTGAGATGGAAACACAAATTGGATGTGTGCCTGAGCGCTTCATCCTGGGCTGTAATTTCATCTTTTAGCTAAGAACCACAAGGTACATGAGCAAAGCACCCTGTAAACAATAATACTGGGGAAAAAAATAAACAAGGTCGTGTTTCTGGTACGTTGATCCACTGGTGTCCTGACCTCTATCACGTTGAACATCTCCACTCTGATTGCTGTTCCCTTTGGCATTACAATGAGAGGAGATAGACTGACACAGGAGGCTAAGATTTAAAGTTGCAGTGCTGTTGCACATTCCTTGTATTGGCTATGAAATATTGAACTGCCACAATGTGACACCTAGTTTTTTAAGCAAAGTTTCTTGTTGGAGGTGTTCAGCAGCAGTCTTTCCTGGTTTTCCTCATTTTACCACCTGGCAGGAGCAATTATAAAGGCATGAGAGACAGTACAAGAAAGAACAGAAACAAAGCCAAATCACATAATTTTTGTGTTTGACTCCAGCTCCATTTGTAGCTCAGACTTTCGGGAGCTTCACTGTAGGAAGACCCATGATG